GTTGTTACCCCCGCCCCCCCCCCAAAAAATAAAAATAAAAATATAAATAAATGCATACGTCTGTGTTATACATGTATATATGTTTGTAGTGATTAGGAGGGCACGGTGCACTTCCAATTTTTTAGCCCCCCCCCCCCCCCCCCCCAAAAAAAAAAAATACGATTGTTATTATATATAGCAAACAGAGAAGGCTTTAACTTTTGCAAGCATGCAGAAAACTAAAATGGGGGTGGGGTTGGTCTGAACCACTAAACACACAAAATGATAAAAAGCGGGAAAAGAGGTGCAGTTTACCCTTAATTACATTTGAGCTAACATATCAAACCCCCTGAAACTCTCCCTGCTCCCTATGCTTATTTGACCGACGTGGTGCGTTACTCCTTGCGCATCGGTCTCTCGTAAGTCAGCCAATCAAAACCTCCTTAATCCTCCCAAGATTTTTGCCAGAACTTGTTCAATAACCATAAAAGAGCGTTGAACCTTTCAAGATCCTTCCAAAATTTGACGAATCACAAGCGTGGTTAATGGGTCACCATGAGAGTGGTGACGAAGGCGTCAGAGGTGGTGGGATTATTCCTCCATTCAATTTTTTTTTTTTTTGCTCGAGATAAGGAGCTAAGTGGATTATTGTGAGCATTGATCGATGTAAGTGAGTAAGCGTGATATGGTACTTGCAATTCGTCAAGATCAATATTGTGGAAACGTGATGAATGTTTAGTAAGTGATTTAGTTGATATCTCGAATCTTAAAACTACAGACCACAGAAAACAACTTTAAAATACCACACTTGCCTACTATAATAATTATAATAAAATAAATAAATAAAATTAAAAAAAAATGAAAAATGGCAAATCTCCCAATCCACGCACAGTTCTTTCCCATGTTCTTCCGATCCGTTGATCATCATGATTTTTGTAGACCTAGATTGCTACAACAATCCGGTCATCAGGGGATTGTTGTTATTGTTGCAGGGACATCTCCAGTAGCTAACTTCTGATATTATAAGTAGAAAGGCATACAGGGTTACTACTTTTAAAAATGGAATATTATTTTTGGCGAGTAAATTTTCTACAAAATATTTATTTTCTCTTTAACTATTTTAAATCCAAAACTGGGGTGTCACTCTATTCACATTATCATAGTTCACTCATGTTTTAGTCCTCTTTATAGCTCTCAACCTTTGATTTGCACATAAAATTTCATTTGTAATGTTTCCAATTTCTATAAGATCATGCTTTCACACAGAGTGTTCCCAATACTAAATCTCAAGAATGACAATAATGAAACATATCTGGTTAACAATCAGCTAACATTTGCCGTTGTGGTAAAAAATCTTATTATTTGGGTGGAAAAAAATAATACATGAGCCCAGTTCGATAAAAAAAATGTTGCTTTTGAAAGTTAAGAGATCTGACCTCTCCCACTCCATGATAAATGGTGCACCCTGAAATGTATTTGGCTAGAATAAGGTTGATATTGCAGTGACGAATAAGTAAAGAAACAAAGAAATAAAGGGGTACATAAAAAAATCTGAGTGAAAATTATTAAAATAAAGAAACAAATGAGTGATTGAGTGAATGTGTGGTTTACAGGGTGGGTGACTGGATAGATGAGTGAATGAATTTATGGAAAAACATGAATTAAGCTACATCACATCTTACAACTTCAACTATTTGAGGTAGAGACTGTTAACGCGAGTAACACATCACCATTCACGTCAACAAGTCTAGATGATGGCTTGAAATGTAGCTTTATGATTCGCATCATCAATAACTTAAAGATGGTGTACAAAAACGTACTGTTAAGCTCTTGTTATTAATGTGATGGTATATAGAAATGTAGTGTATGGCTCTCATTTTCAATAAAAAAGTGAACAGAAACAGCAGATGGGCTTCTGTATTAATATTGTATATATTGATGTCAAGAAAAACTGCGTTTTACAAACTCCTTACCGGGCCCATAAACAGTGCTTTTCATTTCCCTTTCCTTCCACTGCACATACTGTCCAGTTATCAATGTATCCAAGATATTGGCCCAGTACCTGCCTGTATAAATAAGGGACATATAGTATTTAAACAGGTGGCTACAAGATTAAATTTGTAATAATTGGGAGGAAAACTACAAAATCAGAATGCAAATAAATATTCTTCTTTAGAATAAGAATGCTGCATATTTCTGCTGGGAATACTTGCACAATCAGAAATATTGAGTTGTGAAATGGTATCTTTGACAACCCATCATTTTCCCAGGCACTCTTACTCTCCACTCTTAAGAAAGCCACAAATGAAACAATTTTTAATAAAAACAAACAAACAAACAAATAACTTACTGTGTATACCAGAGTCTGAAAGTGACAAATCTTTTAATTGTTGTTCAACAACCGATGAGGTAGAATATTGGTATAGAGAAAAAAAATGATACGGATTCTGAGAAGTTGTTTTTATGAGGTTTCTATGTGGAATAAGGCTCGAGGCAGGGGTATGTAGAAGATAGGACGTAAAAAATTGACTCCACATTATGTATACACTCAAGGTACAGAGTTTATGGAAACTCACCACACACGACTAAAGGATTTATTACTTTAATAAAGAATAGAGTCACAGTCACCCCCATGATATTCAATGTTAAAGTCTGCGATACCTGAGTGCCCTGCTGTATCGATGGCTGTACCAAAGAAGAGCACATACTCTGTGAGGGAGGCATGGCCCACCATCATACTCCCCATCCAGCCTCCTGCATTGACAAAGATCCATTGATGATCTCTACTAGGAAGTATGTGCCCTGGGTACAGATCCTGTAGTTTTTTGAAGATACCTCTGAATGCTGCCTCAGCCTCATAGACTGAAAAATTTAGTGTGTTAGGTGAGATGGTGAGCTGTTTGTGATTGTTCTTACTGCGAAGGTGAGCTGATGTCCGGAACCGCGCAAATTGGAAAACAGTAACTGCCCCGGAAATATGGCACTTGTCACTGAGATGTATGGGATAAATTTCAGATTTAAATTTGATCTATTTATTTATTAATTTATTTATTATCTTTTTTTTTCTGAAAGAGAAAGGGTTTTTTATACCACAGGAAAATATAGCAAGAGGCAAAACACTCAGGTTTTTTCATAAAACCTCCAGAAACAGAATAATATTATGAATTGGTGATTTAATGTTGATATTTTTCATGGGTTTATGATGAATAAATTATATATGCAGCACTAATTACATGCAAGTTATATATTATTTATAAATATATTAATATGGGAATGGATTATTCTCTTTTTTTCACAATACTTATAAACATGCTTGCATGATGGCAGATTTGTTATGTTGTCATTATGATATTTATCATCATTAATCAATGACGAGACAATGACAAAGAACAACATGATGGTGAGCATCATGGATACACATTGTCAAATCAAAAATTAAAAGAGATATTTATCATAATAAGAACTGATTAAATTTTTATACCGTTGTTTTGAAATTAAAATTTTTCGGGTTGAAAACATAGTGAGGCTGATCATCACATGCACAATGTGCGTGTTGTCATTTCTAATCAAAACTCTGTTCAGCAAAGAAATACTTCAGTAACACAGACGGCTCATGGTATCGCCATCATTTGGGTTTTTCGAAACTTCAAGAACCCTTGTTTTGCGTAGGCAACTATTACCTTCAGTAACATAGACAACACATGGTATCACAATCATTGGTGTTTTTCGAAACTTCAATAGGCCTTGTTTTCCATCGGCAACTATCAAGACCCCTCATGAATTGTTAAACACGAGTCAAAAGCTTTCAATATCATTTCCCTCTCAAACTTGTCGCCCGTGGGGAGGATGCACAATTTTCCCATCAATATGTCACCTCTTGACAGACAGATAACAAGCTGACAGTGTGCTGAGGGTCAATTAGCTGTGATGTCTTTGGTTCTGACCAGCTGATCCTAATCATATCCTACAAGATTAAATGACTTCGATTGCTACTTGAACAACCATTTGGAAGACTTTAATTGTGTCTGTAGAAATGTCACCTATGCCACTCAGATTGTTGGTGAAACTCTTTCATGACATGTTCCTCCAATCCACATAAATTTTTCACAGTTAGATTTAAGACTACTCCAATCTTTCACGTCATCAAACAAGTTTCTTTGGTGCATTCTTGTTTATCTTGTGTAAAGGTATTTGTAATCTTATCTTTTCTGATGTGGTGCCCAAAAGCCTTTAGTTTCATTCTTGAGATGGTTTGTAAGATATTCTCAGACTCAATTTGTATAGTTTCTTTAAACTTACACCATAAAATGTTCCAAAAATGTTTAGTAGATTTCCTACTGATTTAATTCCGACACTGTGAGCTTCTTTTGTATTTTCTTGGATGGTGTCCAAGAAAATGGACATGGGTGATGAATTTCACCATGTTTTGTCTTGACATTTATTTATTTTCAAATAAGGATCAAAGGAACTATTTCATGTAACAGAATTATATGGCAAAAGATCAAACACTTAACTAATTTTCTAAAATTCTCCACACACTTAATAATCTCTGAAAATAAGGTTATTCTTATTCTTATTTTTTTAAATGGGTTTTGATTTTTATTTATGGGTTTATCAATTATGAATTAATTTTATATGTAACAGTAATCAACATCGTGCTTTATAATAAGGAACAAGAATTATAAAAGGACACTACTGTAGGGTCTGTGAGAATTGGGTTGTCTGTGAGAACAGATGATTGATTTTTTAAAAANTAAGGTTATTCTTATTCTTATTTTTTTAAATGGGTTTTGATTTTTATTTATGGGTTTATCAATTATGAATTAATTTTATATGTAACAGTAATCAACATCGTGCTTTATAATAAGGAACAAGAATTATAAAAGGACACTACTGTAGGGTCTGTGAGAATTGGGTTGTCTGTGAGAACAGATGATTGATTTTTAAAAAAATGATTTTATGTTTAGAATGGATTAATCAATACTTAAAAAAAGGAAATGCATGAAGGCAGATTACATATATATATGTTGTTATTATGCTTTTCATCATGAGTAATCAATACCCAGACCAAGATAAAGCTAGCCAAGAGGATGTGCATGAAAGTGACAACCTAACATGACTGAAAGTTGTCAAATCAAAAAAGAAAAAGAGATCTTTACCACAAGAAGAACTGATGTAGATTTTTAATACTGCAAAGTGTATTAGAAACAGATTTTGCAGATATTGAGTAGAATACATTCTAAGGCAGGTAGACTGATTTATCTTTGCGTGCACGTTACTTATCAAAACTCCATTCAGTATAGAGGTACTTCAGTAACATAGACAACACATGGCATCGCTATCATTGGTGTTTTTCGAAACTTTCAGAACCCTTGTTTTGCGTAGGCAACTATCAAGACCATGCAGGAACTGGTAAACACGAGCTGAAAGCTTTCAATACTGCGTCATTTCCCTCTCAAACTTGTCGCCCGTGGGGAGGATGCACAATTTTTCCATCAATATGTCACCTCTTGACAGACAGTTAACAAGCTGACAGTGTGTCGAGGGTCAATTAGCTGTGATGTCTTTGGTTCTGACCAGCTGATCCTAATCATATCCAGCAAGATTAAATGACTTCGATTGCTACTTGAACAACCATTTGGAAGACTTTAATTGTCTCTGTAGAAATGTCACCTATGCCACTCAGATTGTTGGTGAAACTGTTTCTTGAAATGTCCCTCAATCCACATAAATGAATAATTTTTTTGCAGTTAGATTTAAGACTACCCCAATCTTGCACATCATCAAATAAGTTTCTTTGGTGCATTCTTGTTCATCTTGTGTAAGGGTATTTGTAATCTTATCTTTTCTGATGTGGTGCCCAAAAACCTAGATGGTTTGTAAGATATTCTCAGACTTAATTTGAATACTTGTAGTTTCTTTCAGCTTACACCATACATATTCATTTCAAATTGTCTTGTTCTCTTTCCAGAAATGTTTAGCAGCTTCCTTACTGAATCAGATTTAAATTCAGACAATGTGAGCTTATTTTCCGTTTTCTTGTATACGTAGTGTCTCTTTTATAAAATGAATAATTATCACATGGAATATTCTTACACCGAGTTGATGGGTACGTAATGCTTGTACAAATAACGCGGTCACCTTAATATACCTAAATACACTGATGGTGTGATTGATTACCTGTCTAGCAGTAACCAATACGACTGACTGATTACTCGCTTACTCGATTAATTGATTGGCTGGTTGGTTATTACTGACCCCCCCCCCTCTCTCCTTCTTTCATTACCATACAGCAAGGAGCAGACAAACTTATTTCATACCAATATTGCTCCTACCTTCAATCATGTAGACAAAAATGCATTTTTAAAGGCTAACAGTCATGTGCTTTGATTTACTGATTTCCATCGTTTCTATTCAAACAAACAAACATCTCAAAAAGAAACTAACAAACAAAAAAGAAACAGACTGTGCAAGTTCGAGTTTTTCCATGCAATAAAATGTATTGTGGAGATACACATAAAATATCACCTTTTTTGTTTCAATGAAATTTAAAAAAACACGTTTGGAATTGCAAACAGGATTTTTACGACTCCCGCATTATGCATCTGAAAGATTTTTCACTGAAAGATGAAAACCTTACAATCAAAGTTCAAATTACAGAAATTTGTTTTGAATACTTTTGGCGCACAGCTTTGCAGGATTTAAAAAAGGAGGAGATCCTTGGGGTTATTTGGATTCTAATTAGTAAAGATATATGACATCAACTTATTACGAACGTGAAGGGTGCGTTTTACTGTAATTTAGACAATGCTGACGTCACTGGTATCGTTATAACGAGGATCATCCAAGGAATCAGCACCGTGAGACAACTTTCCGTTTTTAATTATAAATTGTTCAGATAACGCACCTGATACAAATAAAGATATAAATTGCAAGCTCTGAAGTCCCTTCTCCTGCTCAAGCATAAAGGATAGGCATTTCATGAGCATAACTAGCGTCGTATTTCGATACCCCAGGTGAGCCAAAGGGTGAATATTATAGGCAGAACCTTTGCGCAAGGAAGACTCAATTTACCTGTCGGTTCCTCGGAGTAATTATCGAGAAAGCCATGCCTGTCTTACTTAGACAGAAAAGGCGTTACTTAAACAGAAAAGGCGTGACTGAATACTTTCTGTCAGGCGTCAGTCATTTGCATGTAGTGCTGAGACACACCACGCAGCTGAATTATGGACCAATGAGTGACCAATGGCTGCAGACTCCAATTGCAATACATTCAGCTTCTCTGATACTACAAAAACGGCAGTTATCGCAGAGTAGCTATCTAGACCTATAGAGATCAATAGTCCTTGCTATTGGACCATTGATCTCTATAGACGAAGATGGCTACTCTCTCTCTAATAATCTACTAAGAGATGGATTATTACAAGAAACGCAAAATTTTTAGGGAAAAACATTGACTAACTTCGAATGTCGGAACTAACCCATTATCATGGAAAAGTATATGTATGGAAAAAGGATTCTCTTTTTATCGTCATCGGTAAAAAAAAAACCTGTTCCCGTATTGAAATCGTGCTTTCGGCCGTCAGACTAGACCGACGTTTTAAAACTAATGTTTTAACTTAAAATATTCACAAATGTATCTAGAAGGCACAAAAAGCCATAACATGAATAAGGTATTAGAATAGTACACCGTGAATGCGATCACAGCTGCCCGGGAAGACTATCAAACACTGGGCTTAAATTTATTCATTTATATTTTATTATTTTATAGTTATATATATTTTCTCCTACACTCTCACACACTCCCATTCACGCACCCTCTTCTACACATAAATATATGCTGATATATACTCTTTCACTTACATTATTATTTTTTTGTATATGTATCGCGCAGTATATTTATTTTATTTATTTATATATTTATTTATTTTACTGCATCGCTAATTTGAACTTTCTGTGGTGTCATTTAATAAACTGACCAATATCGACGGGGAATGGTTCCCATGAGGAAGTATTGACATTTTCTCATTGCTGAGAAGGTATGGCAACTGCTATCAAATTCTCCAATTCCATGAGTCATGTAAGAAGGCGGAGACAAACATCCATGCCGTAAAGGTATAAAATCTCAAAATCACGAAACCTGCCCAGCAGTGCCGGGTAGTCCGTGGAAGGCTTACTATGAAATAGCCGGAGATTCATAATCAGTGGCACGATGTTCAATGCTAAGTCTTCTCTCAGCGGCGTGTTTCTGTTTCTAGTTCTCACAACGGTCACTGGACAAGGAAACGGCATTCACATGCTAGATGCTACAAATTACTGGAGCACCACGCCAACTTTTCAAAACACAACGGTTTTGAATTCAACTTTCACCCAAGACAGCACGTCCACTCAAATTAAAACCAGAAATGACGAAAACGCAAAGAAAATGTCTACAGTACCTTGGACCCCGTCGGACTCTAGTCTTGACCAACCAGAAACAAAAACAGCGATTACCGCGGGATTCAGTCGTCCAGAGGCGTCCACTGGCAAGTCCTCTTACCCTTGGCTCGGGTTCACAGTTGCATTGTCCTTTCAAAATAGTACCGGACAACACAGCGAGGAACCCGCCCCTCTCACTACTACAGTAGCTGGATTCAGTTCGGAATCAAATTCAGGGGATGCAGGACTGATTTTTAACCGTACTTTTCCGCCACAGTTCTGCCCAAAAAACCCAGACGAAAGTGTTAAAGTGTTTTGCTACTGCGATGAATTCTGCGACTTGTTCAATGATTGCTGTCCGCCGCTTCACACCTGTCCGGAGAGTTCACAAGCCGAAGAGGATCACGAGAAAAGGAGGGCGCGAGGGGGACTTGGACGAAATAACATTGCTTGTAAGTCACAGTCCACAATACGTTTAAGAGGAGTTGTAAGTCATAACTTTTGGATGATATCAGCGTGTCCAGATGAATGGGGTAACGACAGCGTTCGTGATAAATGTGAAAATTCAACCAACAGAAATGCCATTGACCGCCTTCTCCCTGTGTCGGATCCCATCACAAAATTGGCATTTCAAAATCAATACTGCGCGGAGTGCCACTTTTCTACCAACCCAATCAAGTGGACGTCATTTGTCACGTGTTTTTGGCCGGGTACAGTTGAGGGTCTTTCTATTACAAGCGTGACCGATGTCATGGATCTTTTGAAATCAAGACCGTCGTGTGGGCTACGCTTTGAACCGCCAGCAGATTTACCCGGACGCCCATGTGCACCGAATGGAAACCCACCAGCCAGTTTTGTGGCGTGGCAAACCGGGCGACATTGCGGACCGAATGCAGACCCGCGACTTAAAGAGCTGTGTTCCACCGGACCAATGTTAATTACACGCGTCCAACCGGAATGGCGTCCCGCCTCCTACTTGAGAAACATCTTTTGTTGGCTTTGTGATAAAGACAGCATGATACCGGCGGATATGGATTGTCCAGAAGAGAGTAAGTTGTAACCGAAATCATATCATATATAAGTATTAACTATCGGGTTATTTAGACTCGCACGCAATGAAAACGCACCACCTATAAAAAGTAAGCTAATCTATTTGTCTGAAAGGGTTTTTGAAATCTCATTATAACAGGACAATGATTAGGCTTTTTAGCACAAATTGGCACAGAGGTACTAAATTTTCATCGTAAGCTCTGCAAGGTAACGCCTTAAACAAAGCTGGTAGAAATCCAAAAATCACAAACCTCAGTATCTGGTATGCCCACCCATTGCATCGATCACAGCCTGACAACGGAGGCGCATACTGCGGATTAGTCGCTGTATTCGATATTGTGGAATAGCATTCCACTCATCCACAAGTGCGTCAATCAGATCCTGACGGCTGTGGATTTGCCGAGCGCCGTTGTACACACAACGTCCAAGTTGGTCCCAAAGGTGCTCAATTGGGTTCAGATCAGGCGAAAACGCTGGCCATTGAAGAACATTGACGTTGTTATTTGCTAGAAACGCTGTCCTTTAAGCCTGTGGTGCAACCGTTCCTCCAACGTCACCAGGACGTCGCGGTTTTTCAGCAAGATAACGCAAGGCCGCATTCAGATAGGGTGACTACAGCGCTTCTAGCAAATAACAACGTCAATGTTCTTCAATGGCCAGTGTTTTCGCCTGATCTGAACCCAATTGAGCACCTTTGGGACCAGCTTGGACGTCGTGTGTACAACGGCGCTCGGCAAATCCACAGCCGTCAGGATCTGATTGACGCACTTGTGGATGAGTGGAATGCTATTCCACAATATCGAATACAGCGACTGATCCGCAATATGCGCCGCCATGACTGTGATCGATGCAATGGGTGGGCATACCAGATACTGAGGTTTGTGATTTTTGGATTTCTACCAGCTTTGTTTAAGGCGTTACCTTAGAGAGCTTACGATGAAAATTGTAAGTACGGCTGTGTCAATGTGTGCTTAAATGCCTTATCATTGTCTTGTTATAATGAGATTTCAAAACCCTGTTCAGATAAATAAATTAGCTTACTTTTTTATGGGTGGTGCGTTTTCATGGCGTGCGACTATATATGTCACTGTTTGTAAATCTGCTACCAAAACATTGCATTATTGAGGTCAAATCCACCACATGATAAAACTTAAGTTGTAACTACCGAATAAATGCCATTTTATTTGTGTCCAGGCCATTGCATAATAGCTCTCTAAATACATTGCACATGTTCTGTATGTTACATGTTGTTAAATTCGACCGAAGAAAAAACGTAAGATCCCATTTATTTGTTGATGATGCCTGATATAATGATGATTAAATAATCTAATAAATTGATGTTGGACTTTTGGGATAAAGTGCCCATTAAGTAATTCAAAATATTCTCTTTGAACTGAATTTGGTATACTTTTGTTCAATATTCAAAGGCTGAAACATAAAGAATTCCTTTGTGCCTCCCAAACCCATGGTATTGATCTTATTTTCAGTCCCAAGTGGTGGCCGTGGCTTCAGTCCCATAGGCCTTACAATGCTGCTTGATCCCTCAGCCGAACATTCTAAAGCCTGTAAAGCAGTGCCAAAGGTGAGTTTGTTGTACATCACCATAAGAGAAATTTCAGTTGAAGATGGAAGAAAAACAGGAAAGGAAAAAAAATGCATTTTTTTTTTTTTTTTTTTTTTTTTTTGCTGTACTGAGAAAACAAATTCAAGATTCTCTGGTTGTCCTTGAATCTCCTGCGGTCTTTATCCAAATTATGTTGCTTTAGAGGATGGTATTTTTGTACAAAAAACGCCTAGCACTCCATTAAAAAATTAAAAATGAGGTTTCTGAAGGTTCAATTAGTCTATAAACCACGTCTTCGAAGCCAATATATTGT